CCTAAATAAACAAAGGTACCAGCTGTATTAGCCAGGATTAAAAAACTTAAAAAAATMTAAGTTAAATATAAAAAAAACTAAAAAAAAAACATAAAATATTATTAAACCTATTATAATAAAGGCTAGAAAAATATAAAGTTTAAATTAAAATAACTTATTAAACTTAATATTAAAAATTTAAATTTAAAAGTACTAGTAAAACTTAAGCCTAAGTTTATTAATTTTTTTTAAGTACTAAATAAAATTAATTTTATAATATATTAACTCCTACTCCCCGAGAAGTATTATTAAATATATAATATTTTTTATATTTTATTACTTAAGCCTTGGCATAGTAAAATTAACACGGAAGCTATGCCTAATTTAAAAAAAAATAAAAAATAAAAAATTAATAATATTATTAGCTATAACTTTATTAAAAATAAAGACTTATACCTAGTAAAATAAAAAGGATAGCCTTTAAAATATAATTAATAGGTTTTTATTAAGAACATAAATACACTAAATCTTATTTAAAAGTATAAGAAAAGGCAAGTATAACAAGATAATTATTTATTATTTAGTTAAAAGTAAAAATAAGACCTAATTTTAAGTTAAAATACGCCTAATATACCTAAATAAAAAAGACCCTAATAAAATACTACCTAAAAATTATTATTTTAGTCTTAAACTACAAGCAACTACAAGAAACTATAAATTTAGAAAGTAATAAGCGCTAAAGTAAAAAAAAAAAAATAAAGTATTATTAAGAAAATAAGGCCTTAATATTATTAAGCCATTGCCCGGCATAACTAAACTAAAAAATAATAAAAATAAATAACTAAGGCGCCAAGAAGGCACTAAAAATAAAATAAAATATTAACTTTAAAAAAGTAAAAAAATAAAAAAACACTACTACTAACACTAAATATATAATAAACCTAGCTAAATACCCTTAATAATAATAAAAAACTTTGTTTTAATATAAGCAAGTCTAGCATTAAAATTTAAAGTATTAATAAAATAAGCCTGGCAGGCAAGCTTAACTTTTTTTTAAAATTAAAATTTAGTAATAAACTACTATACATAGCCTAAATTACCAGGAAAAAAATAAAGGTATAACTATAAAACTTTAGTATTATTTTTTATATTAATAGTAAAAAAATTTATAAATTAAATAGTAAAAAGTAAGGCATGACACAATAATACTTTTATATAATATTAAAGGTTTAACTTTTGCTAGTTCTTTTTTACCTTACTTAAAAAAAAGAATTCTTTTTAATAAGTTTTTTTTATATTTTTAAAGGCCTTTAATAATTAAATTATTATAAAGTAGGTTTAAAAAATAAATTCCTGCCTTTATTAATACTTTTTATTTTTTTAAAAAAGCTCTACCCCTTTATGATTAATCCACGGGTAAAAAAAATAATAGTATTTAATAAAAAGTTATAAATTATAGGCATCCCCTGTTATTATTACTTTAACCTAA